TAGTAGTTTCTTTAGCAGCAGTTGATGATGGAAGGTGGCCACAACCTAATTTCAAACAAATCAACTTGACTTGAAGTTAAATGGGTGGATGAATGGTGGGTGTGTTATGATTTTGTTGCAGTTGGAGGTATAACGTTATGTAATAGTTATAATGAAAGATTTTACTAGGAGAAGGAACTGCTGTTAGCTAAGTCCTCTTTATGATGCCTGGCTGTTAGTGGTTGATTCAACAGTTTCCCATACTTTTTATTTATGTTTATGTATTTATGTGTTTGAATTTAACTTTCCGGTCTAAAAGGTGAACCCTTTTTCTGCAGGGATCAATTCAGGCAGGCTATTGTAAAGCACGGCTGTGCTGAGTTTCTTAGTAGGTCTCGAAGAACGTATCCTAAAGAGAAGTTGTGGAATGGTCCAATGAATCCACCGGCATGGTCAAACTCTTCTGTTAAAGGTATCATATCATTCTGTCTTATTACAGGGCCTTTTGCTTCTGAACTTGATTGTACAGTAGCTCATCTATTTTATTTGGTTCTGTTTGGCTGTCCTGTCACAGGTATACTTTCAGCCTCTACCAGTTCAGGGACAAAGAAACCTGGTGTACTACTCAACTCTTCACATAGACACGGTAATCAGAAGAAGTTCACAAAGCAAGAATGGGAAAGATTTCACTCGAGAATCAACCCAAATAACTATGGCAGAACTGGCAGCAACTCCAGAATTCACTGACTGGGTCATCGAGCGTGCAGACCGTATAAAGCTCATTTCAGATGACAGTTCAGATGAAGCAATTGGGAGCAAATCGAGTTCTATAGACGAAGAAGCTGAAGAGAGCAGCAGTCAGTTTAGATTCTTTAGTTGGAAACCATGAAGTTCAAGATAGCATTAACCCGGGAATTACACAAGAACATGTTAAATTAGCATCAAAATTTGGAAATTTAGCAGTCATTTGCCAAGTGCAATCTCTGTGAGCATTTAGCATGACATTTTCCAAAAAATTAACTGACCACGTAATGCAGAGGGTGAGACTGTTTACCATTTGATGTAACTTGAGTACTGTACAGACGAAGCCGGGAGAACTGCAGGTATGTAATTTAGTTTTTTTTTTTTGTAGTAGATGCAAATTCGATTCGTTATAGCATTTGTTAGAATATTTTATGGGGCCACACCAAGATATCTTAGAGCATGAATCATTCAACAAAGAATTGGGAGAAACCAAGTTCATGGAGATACTGAGGACCATTATTATGATGGAGCCTCTCATTAATTACATCAAAAGTCAAAGTTCTATAACAAATGAAAGTGATACATTTACAATGTTTTGTAATATTGACATGTGATTGTACAATTAATTTTTTTATTTTTTTATATTTAATAGAGTTAGAAATCCAGATTGATATGTATTATTTTCTTATAAATATAAAATCACAACTTTACAAGTATTTATAGATTTACTCTTTTACCCTCAATAGAAAACACAAATTCGACCTCAAGACCCTATCATGCATCTATAGCATTATATTAACTCTATGTTAGATATATTTAAGACCAAAATGGCTACCTCAGAAGCTAGGATAGTGTTTTCTCAATAATCCTTAACTAGCCCCGCCACATCAATTTGGGTTCTAGACATGCCACTTGTTTTGTCTAAAAATGAGAAATAGGATTTCCGTGACAATCCTCTCATTTCAAGCAATAGATCTCCAAATAGGATGGTTGAAAGGTTGTCCATCTGTGAATTTTGCTGCTCCTCAAATAATGTTGCAAAATGAAGGGTTTTGCTTTGCAAGTTGGGTTACTAATTATCATGGAGAACTTCAAAAACTTTGAAACTACTAAGATATATAAAAGGTTATCAATCTTAAATTAAAGACAATTTACTAAGAAAATCAACTAAGAACAAACTGGAATTGATATTTACTTGAAATAAATTTGCATACTAGAGACTGCCCTAGCTTACAGACTAAATCTATGATTTTGCAAACCATATTTAAATTCTAGAAAACTAATTTAGTTTACTTCCAAACTAAACAAAAACTAATTAATCTACTAAAGATTATAGTTAAGAAATTATTTGCTCAAAAGTATAGTTGCGAATTGAAAAAGAAATAATTATCTAAATGACAAGTAATGCAAAAAGATTGTCCCAAAAGTGATAAAAAAGGTTGTGCTAATATCATTTTCCTTGCAAATTAAGCTAAAATTTGGAAATAATCAATCCAAAAGATGCGAATTATTGCATGAATGAAATCATGAAGAAAGCAAACATGCAACCCAATTGAGAAAACACTTGAAGAAGTAGAATTTGTTGAAAATCACTAACCAATTTAAAATCAAAAGGGAAAACCAAAACAATATGGCTGGTTTTGCTTCCGAATTCCCAAAGTGAAAGATGATATCTTTGTAGAAAACTACAAACAAAATAGACGGATTCAAACTAAAGCTATATACAAGAGCACGTCTTTGAACTTCTTCAAGACGGGTGCTAAAAGATGACTAAAATAATCTAAAAACTAGTGTTGATTTGCGCTAGTCAATTCTTTAAGAGGAGTAGGCTTGAAACCGATTTCTGTTAAGGAAGATTGATCATTATCATTTTTATGCTTTTTATTTCCCATATTTATCTTATTTTGTATATAAATAATGCCTCCTTGGGTATTGTTAGTAGCTTTTACAGAACGTAGGAGTTGAGTTGTACAATTGAAGAGTTAATGGAATAAATTGAAGCTAGAAGAGACTGGTGGACCAGAATGTCAAAATGTGAAAAGTTGAGTGACCAGAATGCCAAAAACGTGAAACTTATGGCCTTCTGCTGCTCCAAATCAAACGTGATTGATGGCTTTCTCTTCGAGAATTGAAAAAGAAATTTGTTTGGAATCTTAATCCCATGACTGGTGGACCATTCAAGGAAAGAAATGTTTGGGATTTTGGTCTGATTT